AGATAGGCTGTATTTACACCATAAAGGTGCACAGCTGATATAAAGGGATTTTTTTGTAGTTTTTAAAGATATTATTTACTACCTTTCCAACTCCTCATGCAGTTGACTGTTACAGGTCTATACACAGGGGTGCACATAACTTTTTTGCCCTGGTTCTCAAAGGAGCACCTGGAGATGTTGCTTGGTGCTCATCCTTAAAATGAAATAAACTGTAACTTTTGAGGGGGTCTTGACTTTATTTGCCAGACACACGGCACTGAACACACAGAGGTGAACACAGAACACACGTGCAGAGGTGAACACAGGACAACATTAGCACAACCAGTAATCCTACAAGCTGTCATCACTACCCTCCTGACTGTTCTCCTCACTGTCTTCCTCTCTGTCAGACATGGTAGCTGATGATGTAGGCCTACTTCTTTCTCTCTGGTTGAGTCTGTGATTAGCTGCTTGCATCCACAAGTCAACAGCTGGTTTTGGGTCGAAAGTCTCTGTTGTCATCTTAGACAAGTGGATGTAATCAAATAAGTATGTGAACATAACCAATAACCTACCATAGCCAATAACAAATGAATGTAACTTATTTTATTTGTGTTGTTCATTCATATCTTATTTTACCTTAACATTTATTTATGCATTTTTTTTTATATCTCCAGTTTTAAAGGATATTTTTGGTTACTGTCCTATAGTATACATTGGAATGATTTCAAACCTGTTTATCCCAATAATTATAAAGGAGTGCCTTGGAAATATGTGTTTACATCAATTGTGACCAAACTGTTTGAACTTAGACTAAAGTGAACTATCTAAACACTCAGAGTCCGTTACCTCACTGAGCTGTAGTTATCAGCCTCTCAGTCTGACTGGAGAGGACTCTCCCTCCACATTATTGTAGAAACATCTTCTTCTTATATCCGTTAGAGCAGCTAGCAACAGATTCTAATAACAACAGCACCGGTACCGGTGCGCCCTTCTCTCTCTCCCTCGCTCACTCGCATTTTGGCTGTGAGCTGCGGGTGCCAGATAAGCCAACATCCCCCACTTTCATCACTTACAGCGCCCATCGTACAGGGCAAATGAAAAGTGTAACCGGGGTGAAAAGGGTGTTACATTTACTTAATTATGAATATTGTTACATCAAGGCCGAAAATTAGGATGAGCCCCAACGGTCAAAATGTTTTTTTCCCTCCCAGAGCTGCCAGCGCAGCGCCTCCACAGATCTGGCGCCCTAGGCGAACATCTATTACGCCAGTGCTACGGGCCGACACTGAGTTCATATGTATCATAGGTTCATATGCAACTCAGTTTTGAATTTGCTATTCTTAAGAAGCATTGCCAGATGTGAACCATGCCTCGCACAAAAGAGCTCTCAGAAGACCTACGATTAAGAATTGTTGACTTGCATAAAGCTGGAAAGGGTTACAAAAGTATCTCTAAAAGCCTTGATGTTCATCAGTCCACGGTAAGACAAATGGTCTATAAATGGAGAAAGTTCAGCACTGTTGCTACTCTCCCTAGGAGTGGCCGTCCTGTAGAGATGACTGCAAGAGCACAGCGCAGAATGCTCAATGAGGTGAAGAAGAATCCTAGAGTGTCAGCTAGAGATTTAAAGAAATCTCTGGCACATGCTAACATCTCTGTTGAGGAATCTACCATACGTAAAACACTGAACAAGAATGGAGTTCATGGGAGGACACCACGGAGGAAGCCACTGCTGTCCAGAAAAAACATTGCTGCACGTTTGAAGTTTGCAAAAGAGCACCTGGATGTTCCACAGCACTACTGGCTAAATATTCTGTGGACAGATGAAACCAAAGTTGAGTTGTTTGGAAGGAACACACAACGCTATGTGTGGAGAATCCAAAGGGTTCACATACTTTTTCTTGCAACTGTATATGTTTTAAATTTGATAACACCACTGTGTTTCATATCCCCTAAACTTCCAGGGTGTACACAGTTTAATACTGGCAACTTCTAATTGTGGGAAATACGAAAACGTCTTTTAAAACTACAATTCCCAGTAGAGACGTGCCATAGAGGGGTTCCCAAACTAGACCCGTCCGAGTCCAGTTTTGGATAGTCTGCCGTGGTTCCATTCCATTTCAAAGAGCTGTTTGGCGCTCAGCGTAACCTTGTCGCACTGCCACTCCAACATCCAATCACAGAGCTTGAGGACTAATCACGGGGTTTGTAAAGCAAGGCGGTATCGTAGTCCCAAATGATAGCTGGGGATTCTGGGTAGTGTAGTGTCTTCGGAAACTGTAGTGTCTAAACTCCTAAAAAACGATTTGTTTCTCTGAATCGAAGGTTAAAAACACAAAAGCATTGTACACAATTGAAACCAATCAATATTGTGTAATTAACAAGGATAAACTGATGTTTTTTAGTGGATGAGTAATGGAGATATCACTGTGTAATCATTTGACAGTGAGGGGAATACTTCTGGTTTTATTATGAAAACTTCGAGACCGGAAATACTGTTTTCACCCACGCTAACTTTACATGGAAGCTGCCCCATATACACTTCTCCTGGCGAGACCTCAAATCATCTTCGTAATATCTATCAAACTATAGATCCTACACATCCACTGGACGTGGATTCTAAAAGTACAATATACACTTCTCGCTAGAAATCTAATCAAAGAGCATTTTAATGGCCAAACTATTATACAATTTAGGATTTTCCAGAGGGTTATTTGTGAATAAACGACCCTCCGGAGCGTTTGCGATCGACAGGAGCATGTTGTTTCTTACACGACCACTAGAGGTGCTACACTTTAAAACGTGACTGGGTCGTATTTAGCTGCTGAACAATCAACCTATTTGGTCGTCTTTTGTAGGAGGGCAGGCCAGACCCGGCGCCAGAACAAATCTAAAGGGAGGGTCTATGATTTTCATGGGAGGGCCCACAAAACCGTCACGTGCTGCGGGCCTGCGGCACAATATATATCAAACAGCAAGGCCAACGGCATTGCGCAAAGACGCACACTTATCGCAAACATACACAAATAAAGGGCAACGTAGAAACCACTTTGAAACATTGTGTGCGTGGCAGCACAGACACTGGTAAATCACGAGCAAGGCACACTGGTTAAGGATGGCAGCTTCCTCATCGCTGCACTCGGAGAGAAATAGTAGAGACTGAGTCGATGAGCTGTTTAGCCCGCCTTGGGCATGGTTTATGTTCCGATGCACTGCACTCGGACATGCTGTGGAGTGAATCGAGTCACCTCTGAGAGGGAGTTGGTTGACAGCTAAAAAAGCTATAATATCAACGACAGCTAACACGTAATAACGGCTCCGTGCCAGCTGATCTGCACCAAAGTTATAATTTCCTTATTTGTTTCCTCGCGTATCTGTCTCTCTCTCCACAAACTCTCACATGAAATGTGTTCTTTTGATGCGGCATGCCTTAGCAGTCCTTTATCAGTCTGTAATGCGTGTTTCCAGTCGCAAAAACCTTTGACAGTAAAAGCCGCATCAGATGAAGACACAAGGCTGCGTCTGCTTTTAACGAATCTTCAACAGACCGGCAAAAGTGCGGTTCTTTCCTGAAAACAATCTCCCTGGATAACGATCCAGCTTCACCTGCTTGGGTTTATTAACCCCAGATCATCGCTAACTCAGCCCGGGGTTTGCCGAGGTCAAGCTTGTGACATTAAGGCGTGCTGCTGCAACGGCAGGTGCAGGGTCGCCAGCAGCACCATCGGCTGCAGTTCTTTCATCGCTATTTCGTTTTAATAAATTCTTAGACCTTTTAAGCCAATTTTTTATGTCCATTTTGTAATTCAAACAGAAATGGGAGTCTACAGAATGTACAATAAACAAATCCAGAATAGGCGGCAGAGTGTGACGCTGTGATTGGTCTAAATGGGGACGAATCACAAATCACAACAGACACATGCATTTATTTGACGTAGCCTGGCGCCTGCGATTTTTTTTTAGTTCTGACATCACATACATCGTAGCATAAAAGTTCACAGTTTATTTATAATTAAAAAAATAAAATAAATATATTTTTTAATTTGTATAAATAATAAAAAAACGTGTTTATTCGGGGAGGGCAGGAATGTCAAATGGGAGGGCCTGGCCCTCCCTGGCCCTCCCACGGCGCCGGGCATGGGGCAGGCTGGTATAAATTCAACTTTTTACTGGCGTTTTAACTTCAATCGGGTTGCTTTCACATCAAAAAGGAAGCATGAGGATTTTGGTGAAAAACACACGCACACACACACACACACACACACACACACACACACACACACACACACACACACACACACACACACACACACACACACACCACACACACACACACACACGTTATCACTGGCTTTTCCTTCATGACTAAAAGTGTCTTATGGAGGAACGTAGTGGCATTAGTGCTGAGGTCAAATCTGTCTGTCTTGAACAAGTACTCGGATCTAAAGCAAAGTACAAATACCACAACATAGAAATACTCTGATATAAAAATGTGTCTTGATGGTATGCTGCTTATTAGGGATACAATAAGTAAGAACATAGTAATACAGTTCCAGAACAGGGATACAGTTCTGCAAATTAATATTTTTTATTTATATTAAGGTGTCCTCTATTTTATTTAATAAATATGTTACTTATGTTTATACAAATATTTGTATTTAATTTAATTATTCAAATATTGATTGAAAATGTCACTTACATTTTTATGTCAATATAATTATCTCTAATCAATTTTATTTTTACATTATGTTTTAATTGCACATCTTACTTTAACTTCTTATATAAATATTTTTTATTATCCTAATTTTAGTTTTAGTTTCTAAAGAGCAACTCTCCTAAAACTCCATTTCCCCAGGGACAGTAAAGTATTCTGATGGGCTGACTGACTGGTTTCTCTGTAGCCGGGCAGAGGGAACCGGTTCTGTGATGAAGACGTTACGTCACGCTGATAAATGATTAATTGCGACACTGTGTTTTTTAGATCAGCATGGAACAACAGGTTCATGCAAATAGCTCAGAGGACAAGCCTCCTCCCCCCCCTCTTGTGGGACATCCCGGGTATAAAGAGAGAAACTCTGTCAGCAGACACAACTCACTCAGGAGAAACAGTCCTCAGCTCTTCATCTGATGAGGCTCCGCTGAAGAGTCTCTGCTGCACACACTCCTGAAGGTAACCTGACGCTTCTGTTTCCACTGTGTAATGTGAGGAGGGTATCTGATGAGGACGGGGGTTCTGTTGGACAGTAAGGCTGCAGCAGTTTTTTACTTATTTAACATTTAATTCAACTTTTAGTGAAGCAGTCATTTCCAATGTTACGCTCAGATCTCAGGCTTCTTTTTATCTGTATTTTCTTTTTAATGATATTGTTGACCTGTAAATACAAATATTGAGTACATTGAAGTTTGCTCTATAGATAACATTTATTATTTATTTATTTTTGTATTTATTTTATTCCAACAATGATCATTATACAAAAATAATATATCACGTTATTGTTAACAGGACTGTAGTAAAGTGCACTATGTATACAAAGTGTATAATACTCAAAAAGCACTTTTTAATTGTATTTATGTGCTAAACTTTATTCCTCTTTTTCTCTTTTAAATCTTCTCTCTGTTCCTTTTATTTTTCTATATCCATATTTATTATTCCATCCTCCATCCTCCATCACCTCTCCTCTCTTTTCTTCTCCTTGTCCCATCTTGCTAACTTTTCTCTGACCCTTTCTATGTCTACTCTTCCTCTCCCCCCTGAATCTTCTCCCCAGACTCCACTCTTCCTCCCGTCTCTTCTCTCTACCCTCCAGCCTTCCAGCCCCCAGCAGCATGCCTCCTCAGCTCCCCTCTCAGAACCAGGGCAGCCCGAGGGTCCTGCAGGGCGACCTGAGCGCCCTCAGCCCGGCCCTGAAGGAGTTTGTGGATCTGAACGTGACTCTGTGCCAGCCCGAGGCCCTACACATCTGTGACGGCTCCGAGGAGGAGAACCGGGCCGTCCTGACTCAGCTGGAGGAGCAGGGCCTGATCAAGAAGCTCCGCAAATATGAGAACTGGTGGGTGGGATTCAATTCAGAGGATTCTAGAGATAGGGGCCACAAAGCAAATACTCTAAACATCAGCAGACTTGAACCCTTTCAGTTGTCTAAAATGTCATTTTTCTGTGGGATTTATTTTTCAAAATGATTTCACAAAACAACAAGTATTTACAACAGGAATAATACGTATACATGATAAATAAGTTAAACGAAGCTGCCACTACAACAATGTAACTCATATATTACGTTTTTTTATCCAGATCAATCAGGAATACTCATTTAAAAATTATAAATAATATTTCAAACAAATATCTACAGAAAAATAAGAACAACAGCTAGTATGTGGCTGTGGTGGCTTTTGTAACAAAGTCAGAGGAAACCCAAAGCAGTTGGCAGAGAGCACGGTCTTGTTGTTCCTAGAGACAGTGTGCAAGAGTAAGTCGTCATCAGCTGTTTAAATAAACAACACACGTGTGAAAGGTCGGCATTCTGAAGAACCAGAAAGTCCAGCTCCTTCAGGACGAGCAGCCGCTGTCGCACAAACATTCAGGTGAACAGGAGGCAGGTTACTGTAACTAGCAATTCTGCTTCATCCTACTGCAAAAAACTAAAAATCCCAAATCTGATAAATCTGAAATAGTAATCCTTTCGAGGAAGGAATAAAAAAACTCATGGTTTAAGTAGATGAAAGGCAAACTAAAATAATGAATAAAGAGGCAAGCACACGGTAATTAACATCAAATAACTACACCTTTTTTTTTTATTGTTCAAATAAATAAGTAGCAGCATAAAAAATCAAAGGTAAATAGACGTAAAGCTTTTCAAGTCTTTGCGACTACACAAAGTGCTTTTGAAGTTTCAAGTTAGCATTCACACACATTCAGCCAAGACTCTTCCACATGTTGACTGTTGGGGCTGGGGCTCCAACCTCCGAGCCACTGGTGGACGATAACTCCACCTCCTGAGCTACAACTTCTTGTTGCAAACACAGGGACAAAATTCAATGTGCCAATCTTGCGAACGTATGAAAGAAAGTTAAAAGACAAAAAGTCTCACCCTTCTCTTCCTCTTCCTGCAGCTGGTTGGCCAGGACCGACCCGAGGGACGTGGCTCGTGTGGAGAGTAAGACGGTGATTGTGACCCGGGAGCAGAGGGACACAGTGCCCACCCCTCTGGACGGAGGGGTCAGCCAGCTGGGACGCTGGATGTCCCCTGAAGAGTTCGACAAGGCCGTGGCCCAAAGGTTCCCCGGCTGCATGAAAGGTAACACAGAGAACAAAATTACACATCAGGATGAACAAGTGAATAGAGGCACAGATCTCTCCAAAAAGTCTAAAATGCTTAAGATTCCCCTTCCCAAGGTAGAACAAAGCAGAACCATGTTTCCTTAATACTTGAATCGGTGTGTAGATTTGGAAATGGATGGTTGTATAAGGGTATTTCACTGCAAAATGTGTTCATTTGGTTCCTGAAAGTCAATATTTTACATTTCCTCTGTAGTGAAGCACACAGCCTCATTGAAACTAAGGTATCATTTAAATGTTCTCTCTCCTCAGGTCGTACCATGTATGTGATCCCGTTCAGCATGGGTCCAGTGGGGTCCCCCCTCTCTAAGATTGGGGTGGAGCTGACCGACTCCCCCTACGTGGTCGCCAGTATGAGAGTGATGACCCGCATGGGGAAGTCTGTGCTGTCCGCTCTGGGGACGGGAGAGTTCGTCCGCTGTCTGCACTCCGTCGGCTGTCCTCTGCCGCTGAAGAGTACGTCCACAACATCAAAACAACATCCAGCTAACTACATGCATGCATCCGTACTAAGGCTCGAAAAAATAACTAGTAATTTTTGGGTTATTTTGATAAATTATAGATACTAGTAGCACTAGTACTACTTATAATATATTTGCTAACGGTAAAAGCATGACGTTACAACATATTTTGCCAATTTTGCATGAATTGACATTAACGATGAATCGATTGAATAGACAAATTTGTCTTATCGTTGAAGTTCTACCAGGACACAAAATTAAGTAAAACATTCCTCCTCCACTGATGCTATCCACTGATTAAAGTAAACCCTTTGTCTTGCAGAGCCCTTGGTGAACAGCTGGCCCTGTAACCCGGAGCAGACGCTGATCGCTCACGTCCCGGACCGCAGGCAGATCGTCTCGTTCGGCAGCGGATACGGAGGAAACTCCCTTCTGGGGAAGAAATGCTTCGCTCTGCGCATCGCATCATGCATCGCCAAGGAAGAAGGCTGGCTGGCCGAGCACATGCTGGTAAGATCTGAAGAAAACCTCACAATATATCATTATAAGTACTTCCCACAACAACTTGTTAAACCGAATGTTTCTCCTCCTCAGATCCTGGGTGTCACCAACCCTGCAGGGCAGAAAAAGTACATGGCAGCAGCCTTCCCCAGCGCCTGTGGGAAGACCAACCTGGCCATGCTCTGCCCCACGCTGCCCGGCTGGAAGGTGGAGTGTGTGGGAGACGACATTGCCTGGATGAAGTTTGACGACCAAGGTGAGGGACTCAAGACTTTGAGAAGCTCATTTAATCCCATTTGGGATGATAGGATTACAGTTAAAACTGAAAAGGTACTCTTGGAGCGCGGACCTCCTCTAAGGCCGATTATATAAGTGAATCCATGATGTATGTAGACATCCTGTCATTTGGATCCACTTCGCAATGTAATGGGTTCTTTGTTGGACAATGTTGTACCATTCGTTGGGACCAATGTTGGGCTAGTAGTTTTCTCCTAATCCTGCCTGAGATACAAACAAACCAACTAATTGAACCAGAAAGATAACCTCCTTGGCAAATATAATAATAATACAAACTATCAATTCTAACACTCATTATTTCCATTGTTCCCTGTCTCTAGGAAACCTACGTGCCATCAACCCTGAGAATGGCTTTTTCGGAGTTGCCCCCGGCACCTCAGTCAAAACCAACCCCAACGCCATGGAGACCATCATTAAGAACACAGTGTTCACCAATGTTGCGGAAACCAGCGATGGCGGCGTGTACTGGGAGGGAATGGACCAGGCACTTCCTGAAGGAGTCACCATCACTTCCTGGAAGAACAAGCCCTGGAGCTCAGAGGATGGTAAGAGTTTTTAACTTTATTATTATTTCTTCTGTGCTTGCAGAAAACAGAGGGCATTGCAAAGACTGTAGGTGGGATAAGGAAAGTCAACATAGGCTGGAAACACCAGGAAGTTCATTAGAAGGGCCAATTGTTTAGATGATCCAATCTGTAGAAGTGCCATCCTGTGGACCAAAGGTCTGAGATAGCTTTTGTGTTTTTCAAAGAAATCACTGAAGAGATACAGGAGTAGTTATCAAACTGGTGTTTCAAAGAGCAACAAGACAAGCTAGAGGACATCACACACATTAGGGGTAAGGAGATAAGAATGTTGGGAAATAAAGTTTACCCTCATGTCTCTCTTTCTCTTTCCAGGCGAACCTTGCGCTCATCCCAACTCTCGGTTCTGCACTCCGGCCGGGCAGTGTCCCATTATCGACCCAATGTGGGAATCCCCGGAGGGAGTCCCCATTGAGGCCATCATTTTCGGAGGACGAAGGCCAGAAGGTGAGCAAAGATAGAAACAGTATGCAGTGGGATCAATGAATTAACAAAAGGAAAGGACTGAAAGATGTGAGAAAATGATGACAAAATATTAATCTAATAAATGACCATTCTCCTCTCAGGTGTCCCTTTGGTATACGAGGCTTTCAGCTGGCAGCATGGTGTGTTTGTTGGAGCAGCCATGAGGTCAGAGTCCACCGCTGCAGCCGAACACAAAGGTCAGTATCTAATCATTCTCATGACAAGAGAGCTTTTTTTATTTATCTCACCTCCATTCAATGCATTTTAGGGAGTTTACTCACCATGAGGACATTAAAGGCTGCTTGATTGGACATTGACTAGCCTTCAAAGGCCGAGAAGTTGATTAAATCCATGCTTGAGCAACGTGCATAGAAACTGCATACTCTAGATGAATTGATGTGCCTGGTGATACGCAGAGGTGGGGAGTAGTGGAGTACAAATACTTTGTTACTTTATTTAAGTACATGTTTCTGGTATCAGTACTCTACTCCACTACTTATTTGTTCTGACGAGTTTTTACTTCTACTTCTTACATGTTGAACTCAAATACCTGTACTTTCTACTTCTTACATGTTGAATACAAACACCTGTACTTTCTACTTCTCACATGTTGAACACAAATACCTGTACTTTCTACTTCTCACATGTTGAACACAAATACCTGTACTTTCTACTTCTCACATGTTGAACACAAATACCTGTACTTTCTACTTCTTACATGTTGAACTCAAATACCTGTACTTTCTACTTCTCACATGTTGAACACAAATACCTGTACTTTCTACTTCTCACATGTTGAACACAAATACCTGTACTTTCTACTTCTTACATGTTGAACACAAATACCTGTACTTTCTACTTCTTACATGTTGAACACAAATACCTGTACTTTCTACTTCTCACATGTTGAACTCAAATACCTGTACTTTCTACTTCTTACATGTTGAACTCAAATACCTGTACTTTCTACTTCTTACATGTTGAACTCAAATACCTGTACTTTCTACTTCTCTCATTTTCCAAACAGCTGGTTCCTTTAGTCTGAATGTGTGTTTGATGCGTGATCATTATTCTTTAGAGTCATTGCGTGCCTATTGATTTGAACACGATCCGTGTATCCATCATTTCCTGGTCTTCTCTAAAGAAGAGGGACCAATGGAAACGTTGTCATGTTGCCGTTGTTCAGCATGGAAACATTCATTAGCTAACAATGACATTATTGTTCTATTAATATAAAGGGAGGTCAGGTACTCTTTAAAACAGATGGTAGTTATGGGTACTTTTTACTGAAGTACATTTCAAAGCCCATACTTCTTTACTTTTACTTGAGTAAAGAAGTTTAGTCAGTACTTCTACTTTTACCAGAGTATTTTTAAACATGAGTATCTGTACTTCTACTTGAGTAAAGGATGTGTGTACTTTTGCAATATCTGGTGATACATATTTAAGACATGTACCAATCTCTGCTCCTTGTCCCCCTTCCTTTCTGCAGGCAAGATGATTATGCACGACCCCTTCGCCATGCGCCCCTTCTTCGGCTACAACTTCGGCCAGTACCTCTCTCACTGGCTGAGCATGGCCGACCGCCCCGGTGCCAAGCTCCCCAAGATCTTTCACGTCAACTGGTTCCGTAAGAGTCCCACCGCTGGATTCCTCTGGCCCGGTTTCGGAGACAACATCCGCGTTCTGGACTGGATGTTCAGGCGTTTGAATGGAGAGGCCGGCGCCATGCCCTCCGTGGTGGGCTACCTGCCATGCTGCGACTCCTTGAACCTCCAGGGCCTGGAGGAGGAGGTGGACCTCAGCCAGCTGTTCTCCCTGGATCAGGAGTTCTGGCAGAGGGAGGTGGCCGATGTTAGGAAGTACTTCACCACGCAGGTGAACGACGACCTGCCCAACGAGGTGGCCCGGCAGCTGGAGCTCCTGGAGCAGAGAGTGAAGCAGATGTGATGATGAGGGGGAGCGAACAGCACTTCAGCAAATCTAAAGTAGCACGAAAAATTCGAAATTCTATAACGGATATTACCCATTCCAGAGCAGACTTTTAGTAATTCTATCAAACGTTCTTGAATAGACTTTGAGTTATTCTAGAACAAAATATAAGACACTTGAATAAAGACTTCTAGTGAATCTATAAGACTTACCAGATATTCTAAAGCAAACGTTGATTGATTCAAGAACTACATATCAGAAATTGTAATAGATTTCTAGTGACTGTGGCTGTTTTCAATGTTTTCGTTAGCTATAATCCTCCAACATTTCCCCAAGGACAATTATTTTAAAGACTTTTAAATTTGTTCTGGGGATGATAAGATAAAGGATATGAACTTGCAGAAATTGTAGTGTAGAAAGAAATGGTCAGAAACATTCCTCACTATGCTAACAGTATGAGAGAATGTGCCAAGTGAAATGTTTCCTTTCCATGATTGTTTCCTTTCATTGCTGTTGTAACAGCTCTTTGTTTTAAACTGTTGTTCTAATATATTGCCTATACTGTACTTCTGAATTCTACTATTTAATAGTAACTTATTATGAGCGCACATCACGCTGTCATTGCCATGTGGACTTGTAGAGCACAGAAAGAGTAAACAAGTCCATGTTAGCTCCAGTGTTGTTTAACCCCTAACATAGGGTACATGTCGTTTTCTGTTCCTGTTTGTATTCTTAATTTATTTTTATACACTGTTGGTTCTCTTGGTTCTGTTTTGGGGCCATCTTGAGACCCCAGAGAAGGGAGAAGACAATAAAAGTGTTGTCAATTATTAAGTCATGTTGCTGTTGTCATTGTTATTTCTGATATATTATGTGTCCCATAGACATTCAGTCAAGACTGGTTTGTAGACTTTGTTGCTGATTCTCCTGTTGCCTTCCTGAGCCTGTACCCTGCATACCTGCTCTACATCAACCTCGTTAGTCTTTTCCTGCTTAGAGTTCTTCCCAATCCTCTTCTCACCTGAGCTTAGTTTGAATTTAATAACCACATTAGAGCGGACCAGCTAATTAATCAGAGCAGACTGGGCTCTGGTTTCAGACAGAGGGTGAAAAGAGGTGCTGCAGCACAGGCAGTGTGAGAAAAATAAAGAGTTTTTTGAACATTAAAGCACGGAGACATGTCCCAGGAGAGGCACCAAATACAAATATGAACCTGAAAATGAGCAGAATAGGTCCTTTCCTGCTTCTGCAAAGTTCTGACTTAAAGGTCCCATGCTTTTCCGGTTATTACCCGTCCCCTTGTGTGTTATGTAGCTTTTTCTGCATGTAAACGGTCTGCAGAGTCACACACCCTCAAAGTACACCCTGTAGGGAGTAAAACTCTAACACAGAAAATACCTGTCTATGCTGCCCCAGAACGCCTCGTTGGGGATTTCTCGTTTTCCATTGTTTACTTCCTGGGTATAGTGACTTATTTCGGGTATAGTGACGTGCTGTTACGTTACGTCCGTGGAGCCGTTACGTTTGGACCAATCCGGACTTCCTCACACACACACACACTGTGTGGGACGTTGCGAGGCTCGCTGCTGCGAGGAGCGGACAGTGTGAGCTAGGGCTCACTGGTGTGGGGTCTGCGAGACAGCGAGACACAGAGGAACTCAGCCTGGGCACACACACAAACTCCCAGCCAGGCTGCGGGTGTGTGTGTGTGTTTCAGGCTGGGTTTCGCTGTGTCTCGCTGTCTCGCAGACGGCCACTGGGCTCACAGGGAGGGGGCAGGAGCTCCAACAAGCCGTGTAGGACAGAGAGTGAATACTCATACTATACAGAGATGCTGTATGAGACACCAATGTGAGTTGGAAAATGTCACATTATAAATTTGCTTTAGTAGACCTCAACAATGGAATTATGATCAGTAGAAATGGCCATGACATGGGACCTTTAAGATCATTTTTCTTTGATTCCCTCTACCTGCAGACTCCTGTATTTGGGTTTAATTGCTCTTTTCCTTATAACAATATTCAAAGGTCGAACAAGAAAACTGAAATTTTAAATCCAGGAGACAGCTGATTGTGTCCTGTATGAAACCAAAATCAACCATGACTTATTTATGAGACTACTTAACTTACGTGCATGACTTGATGTATGGATCATCATTATTTTGACCTTATATGATCTTAAACATCCCAAACATAACCAATAACCAGCATAACCCGTGTTTGAATTCAATACATTTCCCCCGTGTTTATAACTAAGAATGTTTGTCTTTTTGGACGATTTGGAAAAGAAAACAGGGTGTTAAACAACACGCTTAAAGCTTAAGATTTGCAACATGACACGCAACATTTGTGGTGTGCTTCTTCTACACTTCCAGATGAGATTAAGTTTTATCTCAAGGTTGAACCTCCCGGTGCTGCAGCGATTTTATGAAGTGAATGAGGTTTTCCTTCTATAAAACAGCTGTGGGCAGCAGATACCGTGAGAGTCCCGGACATGAATTCATAGATCAAGACAGACAGACTCTCCTGTCTCCTGTGTGCTCCACTTCCTACTTGGCGCACCGGTAACTTTCTCGTGCGAACAAGTATCTTTTTTTTTTTCATTGCCCTTTAGGGGCTCCGTACAATACAAAAACAATTGCAAATATTATATTTAAAAAAGTAAAGTCCTTTCGAGTCATCTGTCTCAAGTCAAGTCTCAAGTTATGAATACCAAGTCAAAGTCAAGTCGAGTCTTTTATCAATGTTAGTCAAGCAAGTCTCAAGTCCAAAAATATGCGACTCGAGTCCCCCACCTCTGTTTTCGGATTTATCGCGGATCCCCCGCAGCAGGGCAAATACGAGGGGATAAAAGCCCTTCTCCTTAAGACATTTAGCTTATCTGCTAAGGAGAGGGCTCGCCAGATTTTCGAGATTCAGGGCCTAGGGACAGCAAGCCGTCCCAGCTCATGGAAAATATGCTGAATCTGCTGGGGGGGGGGGGCAAGATCCCCGGATCTTATTTGTGGAGACGTTCCTGCGCCACTTGCCGCCCCGGGTTCAGACTGCGCTGGCAAACACGGCCATTACTGAGCCCGGCGCGCCCTGGCTGAGGAGGCGGACCGTTTTTTCCTGTTGACCCAGCAGCCCGGTGCAGATGTATTGGCTGTATTGCCCCCTCGCCGGTTAGGAGGGCATGGGGGGAGCAGACCGCTGCGGCTCCAGGCTGGCATGCACTCTAAAAACAAATGCCTTGGCTCAACAAAGAAAATCAACGCAACAGTTTGCATCAATGTTTATTGAGTTAAGACAACTTCTAATGAAATTGTCTTAAAGCAACAAAGTTATTTGAGTTAGGGGAGAAGGCTTTTCCTCTACAATCAGGTGTTTTTAATTACCACTTACTTAATAATTGGTAGCATAAACACAAGTTTTTAAGTTGAAAATTAAGTTGTTCCAACTTGTTTTACCGTATGATTTAAAAGGAATTTTAAGTTGTATGTACTTAATTACCCTCATTGTGAACACACGTTTTTAAGTTGACAACCATTTATAAATTAAGTTGCTCCAAATATATTGTATTCAATAGTTTTTTTTCTTAGCTTTTTCATGTTTTTGCCTTTAAAGAAAGAAATTAATTGATTCCACAACAAAAATATTAGGCAATTCACTTTTTATTTTGAACTGCAGTTGTTTATTTCAACACATGATGTTTCAATCAGGAGAGAATTCATTTGGTTTGAACATGTATTGACACATGCCATATGATAAGGTGCATGAACACCTGAAATCACAGCTGACTGCAGGAGAGAGGAGAACCATTTTATAGTTTGGCTGCAGCTCGCTGATTGGCTGCTGGAGAATGAGGTGAAATGTGATTGGTTAAAGAGAACGCCTGTGATGAGCTGATTATATGCAGCTGCAAAGTGAATGTATATAAACCCAGTCTTCCTGAAAGAACTTGCGCTGAGCTTCATTTCAATCTTGAGAAAAAAGATAAATAACACAAATTTAAATTGCCCCACAAATAATAAATAAACACATGAGCCATATTACCATGGGACATGGGGACACAGCAATTTGCCTATGCAGTGCAACTACAAGGCTATCTACTGTATTTGAATGACAAAAGATGACACTCACCTTAAAATGTCCTTTGTATATTTATATTTGTCTGAGCTGTGGGAACTTGTCCAGGCATCTTAAGTGGGAGTGGACTTGAAATCCTTAACTCAAGGTGTATAACAATTAAGTTATCAAGCCAATTGCATTACTTACTACAACTTGAATTTTGTTTGAAGTCAATTAACGCAGAAATCAGAGTTCAAATTACACACAATATTAAGTTGATGTAATTACCAACATTATTACGTCACACAACTTATAAATTAATGTTTGCAACTTTAAATGTTTATCTAAATCAATTAACTAACATTTTTATCTTGCAACCATGCATTTCATTAAGTGGAGGTGAAAGGTCGCCTGAATTCGTTTTTAGAGTGTGGGGACACGGGGGAGTGTTTTTACCACACGCGGTTCGGGCCAAGGCTACAAGCCTCCAGGAAACGAGAGGGGCGTCGCTCGTTAGTGGCCCTGAGCGTGGGCGGCACGAGCAGGCTTCTCTTCGTTAGCGACAGTGTTTTGGGTAGCTGGTTTCTCTGTGACACGGGCGCTCAACGGAGTGTGGTTCCTGCATCGAGGGAGGACGTCGCTCGAGGGGGGCACGGACTGCAGTTGACGACAGCCCCATCCGCACTTATGGCATGAGGCCTATGAGTTTATGTGTTGGGGGGCAGCGTTTCAACTGGGACTTCGTCACAGCAGACATTTATTTTCTCCTCCTCTGGGCAGATCTTTTGTGTGCTCACAGGCTCCTGGTGGACGTTAATAACAAACGATTGGTTGATGCCTTAACGTTTTCCTCCCTTGTGTGTACGCTTGGCAAGGTGGCGTACGGTGGTCTGTCGGGCTCATTGTCAGGTGCGGACAAGTACCTCATGTTGTTGGCCGAGTTCCCGGACCTGCCCACCTTCTCTGCGTCCACCACCAAGCATGGGGTGGAGCACCACGTCACCACTGAGGGACTCCCAGTCTACGCCAGGGCCCGACGGTTGAACCTTTCCAAACTTGCAGTAGCGAAGGCGACCTGGGGCCTATACGGTTCCGGTCCCACAACTCCCATCGACCACCCCTGCAGGGGTCGACTCCCCGGCTCCCGTTCTCCGAAGTCGTGGTGGTCGGCCTGTCGTTCCTCCCCGCCGCACGGATTTTGTGTATGGGTGAATTCTGGGGGTGCTTTTGTGGCGGAGCATTAAGGGACATCATTTCCAGTTGTATTGTTGTGGGCGGGGAACACGATGTAGTGTTGCTCCACGGACCGGTTAGTGGGTGGTACCTTGGTGTTCCGGTTTCCTGTTGTTGTGGTTCCAGCTTCGCAGTAGCATGCAGCTAGTACGTTCTTGTGTGTCTGAGTAAATGGAAAATAAAGTGTGGAGTTCCATATTAAACACACCGCCTCCGACTCCCATTCATCGGCTACAGTTGCAATTAAAGCGAGGTCTCAAAGTCTAATGACAAAAACACAATTGTAATCACTTGAAGACGTGCAGGGCCTTTATTTACAGAACTGATTTTTTTTAGATTGAAATTCAAAAAGAGCTCCTTCAAGCCACTTATACTTGGTGTTAGCTTGGATGTTGATGAAAGCGACTTGCAGGCAAAGCGTTTTGTCTCCTGCTGCTTGACTCGAATGCACCAGTAAGCCAGGTTTGAATTAGCTTAGCTTATAGCCTTTGGTTTTAATGCATAATATGAGCTGGTTCTTAGTTTTGCTGTCATCTAATTGAACTTTGTAAA